TGAACGAATGAACAAATGAACGAATGAACGAATGAACGAACGAACGAAGGAACAAAGGAACGAATGAACGAATGAACGAATGAACGAATGAACGAATGAACGAATGAACGAATGAACGAATCAACGAATGAACGAATGAACGAATGAATGAATGAATGAATGACTGAATGAATGAATGAATGCACGAACGAACGAACGAACGAATGAATGAATGAATGAGTGAAGGAAGGAATGAATGAATGAATGAAAGAATGAATGAATGAAGGAATGCAGGAATGAAGGAATAAAAAAAAAAACGAAGAAACCAACGAACGAAGGAACGAAGGAACCAAGGAACGAAGGAACGAAGGAACGAAGGAACGAATGAAGGAAGGAACGAACGAACGAGCGAATGAAGGAAGGAACGAGCGAACGAACGAAGGAAGGAAGGAATGAATGATTGAAATCGAGCTCTCGCTACGGTCTCGTGCGCCTTTTGCCGACCTTATCTAGCAAAAATGTGAAACCGAGCTCTCGGTACAGTCTCGTGCACATTTTGTCGGCCTCATCTTCCAAAAGGGCTCCGCGCCCCTCATTTTTGTTACGATTTTGTGTGATCAACTACATGATGATGATGTGGTTGACATATGAAATCGCACTTTCGCTACAGTCTCGTGCCATTTTATGTGAGATTGAGCTCTGGCTACGGTCTCGTGCACATTTTGTCGACCTCATCTTCCAAAGGTGCTCCGCGCCCCTCAGCTTTTACGATTTTTATGTGAAATAGAGCTCTCCCTACAGTCTCGTGCACCTTTTGCCGACCTCATCTTCCAAAAGTGCTCCGAACGTGACAGTTGTTTTACGTTTTTATGTAAAATCGAGCTGTCGCTATAGTCTCGTCCACTTTTTTGTCGACCACTTCCCCGATCGAGCCGCGATGATTGGAATGCTGCCCATGACAATCGTCCGTAACTCGGAAGTTTTCAAACTAAACTTCCTTTGATTATATATTCATTGTATATCATATATTCTTAAATATATATATATACATATTATATATGTATATAGAAAATATTATAAAATCATCATTATATAATATGTATATATGTATACATATAGAGGAATCATTATACATATGTCTATAACATGTATATATGAATATATCATAATATATTAATAATATATTTATTCTACATATATTATATAAATATAATCATGTATATATATATTGTATATAGTATATATATAAGTTTACTCCAATCTAATTGCATTGTCCTATAGTTTTCTGCTGGTCAAGGCACGTTTTCAAAAGGCAGCTCCAACTGCTGGTCTTCGCAAAGCTGGTTCTGCTCATCGTGAACTGTGCAACCACAGGCCCAATGGTGAAGGATGCAGGCACCATCAGATTTCGAATCAAGAAGTTCATTTCGGGGCTGATGCGAGCGACACAGCTCAAGGTCTTCACGGAATCAAGCAAACGTTCAAGTGACAGAACTCGGAAGAACTCCAAGAAGCTCAAAAAGGGCTCAGACCAAGTTATGTCTTGTATTTGTTCCATCACGACGAAAAGCTGAGCGCATGTGATCAATTGATTTGCACACAAGGCCGCACCCAATAGCGCACTACGATAGGATCCGCTGGTTCGATCCGTCAGCGCTAGCACGATGTGCAAAATCCCAGTCCCGACTAGGACCAAAAGAGTCAGAGCCACAAGCTTAATGTAATCCCCGCCTTTGCAAGGCATGCACTGTTCTCCAATTGGCTGTAGACCTGGAAGGCAAGAGCTGCAAGCAGGGCTGGAAGGGTCCCTGCCCTCGGCGCAGGTTTCTGGTGCTCCACCCGGGCACCTCAAACTGTTGCCAAAGCACCGCAGAACTGCCCCAGGATCACCTGAGTTGGGAGCTCATGCCATGCTATGCCACGCTATGCCAGGTCCTTTATAGTCCCCTGAAATTTCTTCACAACCTGCCTCGAACAAATACACAAACGGTCACCTAAATAGTAAAAAGAATCCAGAGTCTTGATGCCTTGATGCCTTTGATGCAAGATAAGAGTTCACTGGGAAGAAAAGGCATGAAAAAACTTTCTGCCAAGACACCCAGAGTAGAGTAAAAGCCAGGTAAGAGTGTCAGGACTCCTGAGCCTGGACAAGAGGCGCCCTCGATGCAGATTTCGCATTGACCGGCTGACAAATGCCGTCCTTCAACACAATGACAAGAGCCTGCTGATGTCGCTCCTTCAAATTCAATCCATTTCTCTTGACCCCCAGCTTGCACAGCCTTACTTGTCGTCCAAAGCTCTTCAGCTCCACAGCTGGAACAACCTGTTGCTCCAGTGGAGCTGACGTAAGTCCCTCGCTCACAAGGTGAACAAGTTGCCTGTCCAACTGCAGCTGCAAAGGTGCCAGCCTCACATTGGATACATTGGCTCTGACCAAAGCCGCTTTGATGAAAACCAACTTCGCACTCTTGACATCTATAGGTTTGCCTCCCATCCTGTGTGAAAACCTCTGAGAAACGTCCTGCGGCACAAACTTGACAGTCGACCGCTTCGGCCAAAGATGCGACTGGCAAGCCTTGAACGTCAACCAGTCCATATCCTGCAGAGCAATCGGTTTTAACTGGCATCCACTTCCCCCAAATGTCGCTTTTGGTTTTCACCCATTGACAAGCTGCATCACCCAATATCTGGAGCTTTTGATCAGCAGTGGAGTTTATTGCAGTGGTTGCCAGCATATCCAGCAACTCACCTACCTCGAGTTTCATCTTCTGCACAAACGTCCTCACTCTTGGCGCTGAGATTTGGAGACCGACGTTGGCAAGCTTCGCGATGTACACTTCCTCTCCGCCTGTTCGGAAATCTCCCTTCAACCATCCAGCTGCGCTGTGTGGTGGCAATATGAGCCTGGCATGCCTAAGGTCAAGCAATGTCTCGTCTGGTTCAAACCAGTAATATAGTATCCGCTGGTTTCGAATCGCCTTCATAACGTTGGTCCCAGTGGTCCCGTGTGTCAGCGCCATCGGAATTCCATAGGCTACTGACCACTGCATCAATACGACCATGTATCCAGGTCCATTTTGCATTACAGGGATGCATTGAGTGTAGTTATGTCGGCAAGCAGGTGCGATCCAGAAAGCAGGTAGTTGACAATTTGCTGAATATTGGCCATTCCGCTCCACTACGCCATCGACATCGCCTGTCCAGTCGAGATAATTCTTCATCTTTTCAGAGTCTGTGGGTTCCAAGGGCCAGCCGAGAAAGGATCCGTTGCAAGGCTCAAGGTCTGCCTCCGGCAGATCCCACAAAGTGTCAAAGTATTTGTAGGGCTGGTGGAAGGACATGTTGTAACTCTTGTAGTATTCCAACGCCAACCCAGCATTCGCTGCACTTTCAAGCACCGATCCTTTGATGTAAAGGCCATCACCACCCTGATAGCCCATAGAGCCTAAATCTTCGGCTACTTGAGGATTTTGAGCTAGGAAACCCTGCCAAAAAGGAAAGACCGGACTCAACCAGGTGTCCAACACAACATCAGTTCTTGAGGTTTTCACCTGGCAATCAGAGCTCTCGCACCCTGCCAAACGTGAGATTCCAGCAGTAGTGTCGAAAATGGTTTCTGGAGTCACGAGGGCATGATATCCTAACACTTCAGAAATCAGGATCTGCGCAATCTGACTGGTCACAATGGAGGACCTCCAGGCGAATATGGTCAGCCGAATTGGACTTTGCTCGTTGCTGGCATTCAAAACATACAAACGCTGTCCTTCCGGTATGCCATTGGGCAAGCACAGTTCGGCCCGGCACAAGGCAGTCAGGAATAAGATAAAAACGCCCAATCCAGGCAGACCACCCAAAAAAATCATTGACCTCGGCTTGCAGAGCACACTGGTTAGGTTTCATGCTTTGGATATTGCCAGCCTAGGGCCTGCTGTTTCAAGCCTTTGGGTCATCCTCTGAAATGCCCATCTTTCTGCAATCAATTTGGTCAGATTCTTAGTTCCTGATTCTGAGGGGTTGCATCTGGTGTTTTCCAACAAATAGATTGCAAAACATACTCAACAAATAGATGCTGAGGGCTACACTACACAAGGCGTCGAGCACACTGAAGATGAATTGTGTGACGTCAAACGAAAGAAATATCGGAAAAACAACAGCTCAATGTACTTCAGCTCTGTCATCCTAAGGCATCCGTTGCTAGTCAATGTGCGATTTTCGCTGCTAGTCACCGTTGGTCGCTATGTTCCTGGGAGACTTTGGACTGTTGAGTTGTGTTGAACTTTCTCACCTAGAGGCACCACTGTGAGCCACACAGAGGCGGCGAAATTCTTTTGCCAGGCTAAACCTCAGCATACATGCTATATGGCATAAGATGCATAAGCTGTTGAAGAGAGCAAACCGACTCCAGGATACCATGGAGAGAATCTTCAGGATTAAACTGGCCTGTGGAGTGGGATTGCTCGGTTGATGCTTCAGAACTTTCAAGCAAACTTCCGCAAGCTTTCATGATGATCCAGTCTCAACCTTTGGAGCTGGCAGAGAAGCTCTACAGCCTTCACAGAAACCACCTGACCAAAGCTTCAGGTGGAGAGTTCTGACGGCCATTGGAACAAGGCTCTTGTGTTACAATATCACTCCAGTGAAAGAATGTTACTCTGGTGCAAACATGTCATTCCAAAAGTTTAAAGCCAATTGCATGGACTCTACAAGACAGCACCATTTGAATACAAGGGACTGGACGCTTGCACTGGTTGCACACAGGGCATGGTCTCTGGATATTTACACAAGCATTATGAATGGTGAATGACGAGCTTTCTACAGTAGATGGACGAAAAAATCAATCAAACCCTGCAGACGTCTACCAAGTAAAACCCCAGGCCCAAAATTTCAATGCTGCGGCCCCAAGTGCGCAGCCCAAAGGCAACATTGAAATTTGGGGATGCAGGGCGACAACAATACAGCAGGGGTTTGATTTCATCGTCCATCTACGGTACAACGCTTTCATTGAGAGCGCCTTCATGTGGTCCTGTTGTGTTCAACATAGTATGCGATCTTTGCTGCGTATCACAACGGTGTGGCATTGAAACCAGAAGGGTTATCATGGAAGCGCAGTGCCAAAATTCTTCCAGCACACGGCGGGCACGTTGACTGAAAGATGCTGTCAAGACACTACAGAGAAAGCCGCAGCAGCCCAGTCTCTTTGTGCTTCTCAGACCTGGGTTCAGAGATTTCCGCATTCCTGGGGAATCTGGAGGCAATACTGTGCATCCAAATTCATCCTGTTCACTTTCCACTGCTTGCCTAGCCTGCCCGCCTGCCAATCCTGCTTGTCATTTTCCACACGCACACACACAAAACACAACTCAAGCATCTCCAACTCCTGACTAGGACAAACATTTCGCTTCGCGAATTGAACATAGGCTGGAGGCTCAGCAACTGATTGAATGTATCACACTTGCATTTCCTGAATATTCTATCGTAGATGTTGTAGATGTCTGGCTACGGGCTTTCGCGTGCCGAGCCATCGAAATACTTTTTGCTGTACAGGGACTGCACCCAGCAGTCCGACTCCTGGAAGGCATCTTTGCCTTCCATCTGGCAGGCTGAAATTTGCGGCTGCGTTTTTTAATGTTTCATTGGATTTTGTCATATGATTGTCCCTTATTGACCACTTACGCCTTTGACCACTTAAAATTCTTAAACTCCATAAATCAAATCGATCCTCGCAGCCCAAAAATATGTTTCGGAACAGTGAAACTACCCTTCTCTGCCAAAGCTGGGCGCTGGTTTGTACAACGAATCTCTAGCGTGACAGGTCACAAATCAAATCCGCCCACACCGCTTTGGCGGTGAAGGCGTGCTTATTGGGGGGCAAAACAGCAACACTAAATGCTCAATGACATTTGTTAATATAGCAGTCGCTATATCAGCTTTAGCTGGGGGGGGGGGGCCAAAAACGGTTTCGCACCGAGACCAGAATACGGTGGTGTTTTCGACATTTTTCGAGGATTTTTGGGTGTCTGAGCGCAAGAGGGTATTGAAATGGAATTTTGGGTCATTTTGGTAGCTTTCCGGCAATGGAAAAACGGCCAAAAATGAAAAAAACATTGTACATAGCAAGATTTTGCAGGGTTTTTGGATGCCAGAGCATTGAAAACACTGCAAAAACAAGTGTTTTGGACTGACGTTATAGCAAAAAACGTGTAAATTACCGTATGCTTGACTGGAAACATTACAAAAACACTGTCAAAAGCAATGTTTTGGAAGGATTTACTGCCTTTATGGCAAAAAACGTGTAAATTACCGTCTGTTTGACTGGAAACATTGGAAAAACACTGTCAAAAACAATGTTTTGGAAGGATTTCTATATATATATGTTGGAGTTGGCTACCGGCATTGGAACATGGAAAAATTGAAGAAAACACTGTAAATAGCGGTATTTTCAACGGTTGGGGAGATAAGGGAATTGGAAGCATTGTCGAACATGATGTTTTCGACCGGTTTTATGGCGACAAAAGTGTAAAGTACCGTGCTTTGAAGGAAACCATTGCAAAAACATGGAAACACATTCAAAGAACACGGGATTTGGGGGACTATCTAGGCGTCGTTGTCTAGCTATTTGAAATTCCGCAGCTTGGAGAGCCTCCAAGGGAGGGAAAAGTGAAAATTCCATAGCTTGGGAAGCTGTCACGGCGGGGAAAAGTGAAAATTCCCTAGCTTGGGAAGCCCCACGGGGGGGAAAAGTGAAAATTCCCTAGCTTGGGGAGGCCCCACGGGGGGGAAAAGTGAAAATTCCCTAGCTTGGGGAGCCCCCACGGGGGGGAAAAGTGAAAATTCCCTAGCTTGGGGAGCCCCCACGGGGGGGAAAAGTGAAAATTCCCTAGCTTGGGGAGCCCCCACGTCGGGGAAAAGTGAAAATTCCCTAGCTTGGGGAGCCCCCACGGGGGGGGAAAGTTCAAATTCTTAGCTTGGGGAGCCCCCACGGGGGAAAACCACCCTTAGCCCCTCTCACGGACCTAAATAAACCTGCGGTGTGGGCGGCCACCCCACGCGAAGCGGGGTGAATATGACTATCATAGCGACCGATAGAGAAACACGCCAAACGTGTTGCAAACCGCGCCTTTCTGCACCAAGCTGCGTTTTGCAGTGGTGCGAGTGTTCACTATCATTCGTGAAACCAAAGAGAATTTCATTCTTCTTTTCGGCGCAAATGTATGATATGTATGCAATTACAGCAAGGGTTCATCAAACAAGTGATGCTCGAGACTCGAGATGCTTGAGCTCTGAATAGATGTGATGTCAGTGCTTTGAAGGCCAACTTGCCGAGGAAAATCGGGTCAGGACACGTCAGGACAAAGATGCGTGACCTGTCAACATGGTCAGCACCCAGCAGGAACCGATGGTAAGAGAAGTCCACTGCCAATCAAAAGCCGACAGCTGGGGCAAAGACCCAGATCTCTGATGCCTTGCCAAGTGTCTGGAGCCTCACGGAAAGTGCACCGCAATAGGTCTGCAAATGGATAAGAAAACAAAAGCAGCCCGATGCTTCGCTGCTCCTGTTGTGAGATCCACGAAAAATCATGCCATGTCCAAAATCTGTCCAATAGTTCCCGCTTTGTTCCCGCTTTGACCTCCCGGCAAGTCTGCAGCCAACCCAGCCCTCCATGCCTCGTAGTTGGTTCTCTCCATGAACTTCAGCAAAGCAACACTGGGTCCGTCCTGGAAAGGTGGCTCAGATTGGTTACTACTACCAAAGGTGCCTAGGCTGGGGTTTGGATGTCTACAGTTTGTAATTGTCTAGATGTTTATATATCTACAAATATATCATCCCAACAACCCTTCAACAACCAGCACTGTAGCAACATGAAGTCGCAGGCCTCTACACCGAGCATATCCCTTGTGCGCTGAAGCAGTCTTTGTGCAACCTTTCAGGGACCAAGTCCATGCTTTCAGCAGCCAAAGCACCCAAAGCACAGTCAAAAACCCTGGTACCCTGCTGAACATCAAATTGATTGCTGGTGAACACCAAAATAGCTGCGGTTTGTGGGTGTGATGTTCATCGCCATATCATGGGTTTTGACCCATGCACAATTCAGCTTTCTTTAGCTCAGGTTTCACTAGCAGCAAATGCGGGATTTAAAAAAAGAAACGCTCAAGCAGAAAGAGCACCTGCCATTCACCCTGGGAGTAGTTCTGGTAGCCCATGTTGAACACCTGACAGAGTGAGAGAGCTGTTGTGCATGTCCTTTCCACTATGTACCTTTATTTTGCCTGAAATATTCAGAGTACCCTCCGAAACACCTGACATGCTCAAGGTGAAACTGTGCGTTTTTCTGCTGGCTCATTCTGAAGGCAGCAAAAAAATCCAAGCTCCCCACATGAATAAACTCAAGGGTGTAGCGGAAGCGCATCGAGGCTATGTCTAGCGGACGATGGCAATGAATATCTTAGATTGCAACTTCATGGAGGCACTGGCAAAACCAACTTGAGTAACTTGAGATTCTTTTTTCTTAGCTGCCTTACTCATTAACATTGCAACAGTGGGGTCATTTTCTGCCTGCGTTCTCGTTGAACAGATTTACCATCTTGACCTAAGTGTCATGCGCAACGCAGTCTTGAACTGAGGCCGAGCAAAGCAACTGAGCTCGCAGACCCCGTCGGCCCACTTCTGCTCCTTCTCATTTTCCAAGAATTGTCGTACCTTTTGGAGAAAAGTCAAGTTTGACTCAAGCTGTGAGATGATCAGTCCGGTCTGCTCAGCTGATTCAATTGATATTCAGTTGATCACGTTTATGAGTTTATGATAGTTTATGGGCTTGTTAACGCTTGTTAACCATCCATTGTTGTTTATGGGTTGAATCCCTATGTTTCCGGGTCACCCAAAACTGGCCTTGAATCTATCTCGGGTTGTCCAGCGCTGAGGACCAAGAGGCTGCTCAACCTCGAAGATTTTAAGTATAGGAAATGTGGCAGAAAACTTATGTCTTTTACCTGCAATTTTTATTGGGGGGTATCCTGAAAAAAAGAACCCAAAAAAACCGTTTCTGGGACAGTACTTTCTGCCATCATCACTGCGTGGATAGAGCACCACCTAGAGCTCCAGGCTGTAAGGCCCAAGTAGTCAAGGTCTATGACGTACAAATCCATGGGGACAACGGACCTGGACAGCAGTCATCCATAGCTAACACCGTAAGGTGTGTTGTACCAAAAGCAGACTGCTTAATCTGACATCATCAACACGTGATCAACACAAATCACTGTCACTCGTGTCACTGTCACTCGTGTCTTGGGCTTGTGCCCAGTGATGATGACTCGATCAATCAATCGGCATTTCGTCGCCATTGGAGTGGAGCAAATTGACACCACAGATTCTGCAACCTGAAGTGGCAAGCAACACCATCAGGCGTGCGGCATTTGAGGATGTGGTTGTTGATCACTCGAGCACTTCATATTCAAAGCTGCTGGAATATACTTTTACTTTTAACATCCCTCAATGTGCAGCTATGCGGTCCAGAAGTTTGAGGTCAAAGCCAGCACACTGACACCATAGATTTGTGTGGCACGCTCCACAGTCTCAGCGATGCTGACCTAACACAAATGGAAACGCGGTGTCACCCTTTCGTATAGAGGACGTGTGATATGACTCATATGACAATGGCATTCGTGACTGAAGTTGTGAAACAGCATCCAGTAAGCTTCTTGCATTTGGCGATAGGTAGGACGCATCGATCTTGAACTCGCTGCCAACTGCCCCTGCAAATTGCACTTCTTGCTACTGCATCTGTCACGTTCTCATTACAATCTCGAGACCTCAATACCATGCAGCAAACTCAAAAAGCAGGAAGGCTCTGCCTTCAATGGCCCAGCCATAATGGAGGCCGCTGCTGAGGTTGACCCTGACAAGCATGCCATTCTGCCAGAATTTCTGCCAGATTCTTTCAGTCCCAGTATTCCCCGTATTCCCCGTAGTCTCTTACCACCTTGACTTTTCTCTCATATACATGTGACATCATGTGACTGATCTCCGCCCGCCTGCAGTCCTTTCCAAGCCGTTGTTGTAGGCCCGGATGACCTATATAAATTTAATCAAATTTATATAAACATCACAGTGCAAAGCCCGGCTCAAAAGTCTCAAAGTTTCTGAACTCACGAGATTCGACCTCTGTATGCTGCCAGCACCGGTGTTCGGTGAATGGCTCCCAATATCCTGGAATCGCGCACTTGGCAAATGCCGTTGCCGTTTCGCTTTCACAGAACTGCTATGCCACCCTTTTTTGCCCCGATCTTTTCGACTGTGCTGGTCTTCTCCTTGTGAACGCCAGGATGGACATGTCAGCAAGCTTTGATACCTGAACAACCAAAGCATTCCAAAAGCTGATCACACTGGTGGCATTCCAATCATCCAAGCACCAACCTTGTCGATGTCACCCATTCGCCAAATCACCAAGAAAGTGTCACCTCACACTTTCTTGAGCAGCTTAAGCATGTAAATCAGGCTGGCATGCTGAGGTTGTTTCACAGCCGATTTTCAAACAGCATTTCAAAGGCTGGCACCGTTGTTCTTGTTGGCTGCTCCGTGAAACTCATCTACCACTCCGTGGACGATCTGCAATCAGGTCAATTGCAGATTTGGTCAACTTTAGCACAGCTCAACACGTCTGAACACATGCTTTCATCATCTTTCATCATCTTTCATCAGTCCCTGGCTGCGCTACGAAACGTCTGGTTGAACAGCGAAGCACAAGACATCTGCCTCTGCGATCTGATTCACGAAGGTCATGACCTTTGCCTGGAGCACCTGGCCACGTTGCAACTAAAAGGGAATTCCACAACGTTTTGGCATGTTTTGGCATGTTGCCATTCGAAAACTCATTGTCTCAATCAAGTTCAATTCGAACAATCAACAATCTCCTATATATCATTATATTATGTATATATATATATCATATCCAATTAGCAGGTCCAATCATTTATGGATTCTAACAATTTAAACCAACCAATTCACCTGTTACCTGGCAAAAAAAGAGCTGCACCTCAGTAGCTGTGCTGAAGTCTCGAATGCGCGTCGCACCAATGATGCACTCCACACGGGTGCCTTCCACCATGGCCTGGCCATCAGCGGTTCTCGGACAGCATGACTCATCATGACTCAGCATGACTCAGCATGACTCAGCATGACTCAGCATGACTCAGCATGACTCAGCATGACTCAGCATGACACTCAGATCCTCAAAACAAACGGCTCCGGGCATTGCTGGGCATTGCTGGGCATAGTGCGATTGAAGAAAGCCTCCTTTTTACGAAAACATTGTCCCTTTTCAGAAGGCAAACCAGATTCAAAGCTTGCCAAGGCACATCAACGCAAGCGCTGTCGACGCCATGCATGTTGTGCTCAATGATGTTCGCACCAGCCTGGTGCGAATTGAGAAAACAGGCTGGCTACATCTCTGGGTGCTTTGAAAACTGAGGCCTCCCCGAAGCCAA